ATGTCAATGTATTACGACGCGCTGCGAGTGTGACGGGCCAATATCAGTAAAATCCACGTGTGCTTAAGTAATTAAGGGACTGTGCTTTATAGCGTATGAACATGTAAACTGGTCATTGACTTCATTTAAACGGGGTAACTGTTATCCATCATAAAAATATAGCTATCCTGTGTTTTTCAGGTTAACAATTGACTTGACTTTGCATGTGTTTTTGACGGGTGCCACAAGTGGAGCAGGATACGCTCACCTTTTCGCGAACACCTGGTATCATTACTATTTGATAGTGATTCATAAACACATGCTCACGATCTAGTCGGAATCGTACAATGGACTCTGCTTTATGCAGAGATTTCTATTGGATATGGGAAGGGGTTTGTTGCTTTACATTCGTCACTACTCGCCCCTTTCCGTAACCTGCAAGAAGACTCGTCGCTATTCGGCTTGCCCCGGAATAACACGAGTTGGTCACGAATGGTTGCTTCATTGACTGCCAGAGTTTAGTCATGATCATGATTGAAAATTCAATAGAATATCGCAGCAATATCTCATTATATTTCAAAGAAAGGGGTTTTCTTTAATATCGTATAACATCAGATCGTAATTTGATTTCACTAACGAGTGCAATCTGAAACTGTCAGTCACGAGGATCGTGCATAAATCAGGAAGTAAGTGAACTCAAATAGTATCTAATTAGTTTCCTTCCAAAACAACACGACATAGCCTGAGGATCACATCTGTATTCGCATTGTTGTTACGTTAAACTACACAGTCACACAGACAATGCGATCGCGATGCTACCTCTTGGCGACGGATTTCCTTTGCGACCGACTGGCGATCGCAGAGACCGGTGCAACTATTTATGCCCATATTTGGAATAAGGGTATGATCGCCGATTAATCAGCGATAGGTTTTGCAAATTGTCTGTGATTGATCAGCAACTGTTCACCGCAGATACGGTGAAATGTTTGCAACTTGTTGAGACCGATCGGTGACTAGTCAGCGAATATTCTGTGACCAGTGATCGTAGCGTGAACAGCGCTACGTGGCGTCTGATACCATCTGTCAGACTTCCCACAGACAGGAGTTGGTCTCTCCTGGGGCAAGCTAGAACAGTCTACTCAGCAGCCATTGTGTCCACAAGATACCCATTAACTTGAGCGAAACGTGGCACAAACATGTCATTATTACTTGTAAAAGTCGGAGTGTTCGCTCGTCACGCCAAAGACCCGGGTTCGATTCCCGACATGGGTACAATGTGTGAAGCCCATTTGTGGTATCCTCCGTCGTGATATTGCTGAAATAGTGCTAAAAGCGGCGTTAAACTATACTCACTCACTCACTGTAAAAGTCGGAAAATAAACATAAATAACACACTTTCCTGGGAAATATATATTTAGCGGCAGTCTATTATTCGCAATATATAATGATCATAGTAAGAGATTATTGTATCCGAAAATAACATTTGGGGGGGAGCTTCAAGACGCGACGCCAAAGGAGAGCCCTAACATGCACGCACACAAGCACGCACGCACGCACGCACGCACGCACACCATCATCGACTGGTTGGTCCCTAAATACAAATATACTCACCGCCAAAATAAACTCGAACCATAGAAACAAATAGAGAAGTGTGTACGCTAAGAAGAGATGTTTCCAATGTGTACCAACTAACAATCAATCAAGTGTTACCACAGAGTGTCTTTATTCTTATCACAATATCCTGCACGTGATTTCACCCCAATCCTGCACGAGACAAATGGTGCATCTCAAGTCTATGACGTCACATGTGATGCGTTCATGAGCATCGGTTCACACAACATACCAATAAGTTCGTTTGTGCATCGAACCAATCTAATATGTCTTGAATATGAGTAATTCTTCATATATTAGCCAGCATGTATGGTATTCGCGTTCTTTTGGCGGTGAGTATATTTTTTTTCGGTACCCTCAGAGAGAAATATTCAGTGTTTATAAACGGACCGAAGAATTATTGAAATCAGTAATTACTAGTCTTGACACTGTTTGCTCGGGCTAATTACAACAGTCAACAATAAGTGACCATAACAAGGTATTTTTACGATAAGGTCACGTGCACGTGATGGATCTGCAGTGGTCCCAACATGGATGTCTTCGTTAGTGATCGGTTTAATGAGTGGTGGCGGGGTGTGTCACATGACACAGACCTTGGATAGTGCAAGCGTACGCGAGTCTTCCTGATCGACACGTGACAGTCTAAGGTCAGCTATTAAGAATCATGTTTCCCCATCACTGACAAACCTTAAACATCAGCCTCATCCCATAAATCATTGAGTTAAGCATTTCTGAAGTTGTTTTCAAATTTATCTCTCACTCACTCATTCATACAATCACACAATCACTCACCTACTTATACCTTCGCTCAAGCAATCACTCACTCACTCACTCACCAATTTATACCTTTGCTCAAGCCATCACTCACTCACTCACCAACTTACACTCACTCACTCACCAACTTATACCTTCGCTCAAGCCATCACTCACTCACTCACTCACCAACTTACACTCACTCACGCACCAACTTATACCTTCGCTCAAGCAATCACTCACTCACTCACCAACTTACACTCACTCACTCACCAACTTATACCTTCGCTCAAGCAATCACTCACTCACTCACTCACCAACTTACACTCACTCACTCACCAACTTATACCTTCGCTCAAGCAATCACTCACTCACTAACTTACCAACTTACACTCACTCACTCACCAATTTATACCTTTGCTGAAGCCATCACTCACTCACTCACTCACCAACTTACACGCACTCACTCACCAACTTATACCTTCGCTCAAGCCATAACTCACTCACTCGCTCACCCAGTTATACCTTCGCTCAATCCATCACTCACTCACCCACTTATACCTTCGCTCAAGCCATAACTCACTCACTCACCAACTTATGCCTTCGCTCAAGCCATCACTCACTCACCCACTTATACATTCGCACAAGCCATCACCCACTCATCCACTTATACATTCGCACAAGCCATCACTCACTCACCCACTTATACATTTGCTCAAGCCGTCACCCACTCACTCAGCAACTTACAACTTCGCTCAAGCCATCACTCACTCACCCATTTATACCTTCGCTCAAGCCATCACTCACTCACTCGCTCACCCACATATACCTTCGCTCAAGCCATCACTCACTCACCCACTTATACCTTCGCTCAAGCCATAACTCACTCACTCACCAACTTATGCCTTCGCTCAAGCCATCACTCACTCACCCACTTACACATTCGCACAAGCCATCACCCACTCATCCACGTATACATTCGCACAAGCCATCACTCACTCACCCACTTATACATTCGCGCAACCCATCACTCACTCACCCACTTATACATTTGCTCAAGCCGTCACCCACTCACTCAGCAACTTACAACTTCGCTCAAGCCATCACTCACTCACCCATTTATACCTTCGCTCAAGCCATCACTCACTCAGTCACTCACTCACCAAAATACACCTTCGCTCAAGCCATCACTCACACACTCACCCACTTATACCTTCTCTCAAGCCATCACCCACTCACTCAGCAACTTACAACTTCGCTCAAGCCATCACTCACTCACTCACTTACCCACTTACAACTTCACTCAAGCCATCACTCACTCACTCGACTACTTATACCTTCGCTCAAGCCATCACCCACTCACTCACCAACTTACAACTTCGCTCAAGCCATCACTCACTCACTCACCCACTTATACCTTCGCTCAAGCCATCACTCACTCACCTACTAATACCTGCGCTCAAGCCATCACTCACTCACGCACTCACTCACAAAATACACCTTCGCACAAGCCATCACTCACTCACTCACCCACTCATACCTTCGTCCAAGCCGTCACTCACTCTCTCACTCACTCACCAACTTATATCTTCGCCCAAGCCATCATAAACTCACTCACTCAGCTACTTATAACTTTGCTCAAGCCATCACTCACTCACGCACTCACTCACTAAAATACACCTTCTCTCAAGCCATCACTCACTCACGAACTCACTCACAAAATACACCTTCGCACAAGCCATCATTCACCCACGCACCCACTTATACCTTCGCTCAAGCCATCACTCACTCACTCACCTTCTTATACCTTCGCTCAAGCCATCACTCGCTCACGCACTCGCTCACTAAAATACACCTTCGCTCAAGCCATCACTCACCCACTCACCCACTAACACCTTCGCCCAAGCCATCACTCACTCACACACTCACCCACTTATACCTTCGCCCAAGCCATCACTCACTCACTCACTCACTCACTCACTCACTCACTCACTCACTCACTCATAACATTTCTTTCCACCATAATTCGCATTCATTAATTGTGTTTACATGAGATAGATCCGGTGTCACGAAATATATTCGCCCCCAGAATAAAATCTCCCCCCGGCGAATTTATACCGGTACAGTTCCGCCCCTCTCGAAATAAACTCTCCCCCACCCTTCGAAATAAAATCCCCCCCCCCCCCAGAATATTTCCTCCCCCGGTCGTTTTATAAATACTTGCCATTCAGTGCAATAGTTGCGTAACACTTCTGATAGAGACGATGTTGAGAATGTGGAGTGAAAAGGGCTTCACTTTGAGCACCGTGTTTTCTTTAACTACCGCAATATGAGACAATAAAGTGGTATATTGGTAGATATAATATTAGTCGTTAGATATAAAGAATGTTTTGTAACTTAAGAAGTTCTAGGACAGTTATTAACACGTGTCGTGTCAGCCCTATGACATTCGCGATTGTCCACTTCCAGAAAACATCCTGTGTTGGTTTAACATGAATTAGTAAAGGTTAATTAGGGATGCCCAACACGTTAATTAATGAAAAACGAGTAGTCCTTCCATCTGTAGATCATCATTCGAGTTATGAATATGAATGCACATCACAGTTGTTTTCAATCAGGGCTAAAACGATTTCTGAATTCAGCTATTTCTCTTTCAGAATCTCCGTGATATTCAGCGTCGGTTCAATGAAGCGCATCAGCCTGCCCGACAAAGCATTGTTGCATCGCCTTGTGCCTATTATCGTCGTGGTCGTCGTATATTTGTCGTGCTGGACGGCAATAGAGCCACCTCGTGCCGTCACTATCACCGCCTCAAACTCACTCAAGTTCTTTCAATGTGGGCCAACGTGGTGGATGTTTGCCATATATGGAGGTGGGCGTGTTTATCTATACGTGACTGTATATTAGTCACGGCGTGACGACCCGTGACGATCCGGGGTAGAATATGTCTTAAGCAACCCATGCTTGCTGTAAAAGGCAACTATGCTTGTCGTAAGAGGCGACTAACGGGATCGGGTTGTCAGGCTCGCTGACTCGATTGATGCATGTCATCGTATCCCAATAGGATGTATCGATGCTCATGATGTCAATCAGAAATGGGCTTTACACATTGTGATCGGGAATCGAACCTGGGTCCGCGGCGTGACGAGCGAACGCTTTAATAACTAGGCGACCCGACCGCCCAAGTACACCTGTGAGTGATGTTTTACACCACTTTTAGCAATATCAAAGTCATTTTATGTAGGCGAAACCTACAGTATGCTTCACATATCAAATAAATTTGAGTTGCGAGTTACATGTTTTGACGTACCTCTTCAGCCGAGGCCCTTCTGCTGTTGTTCGGGGTGTACCTGTGTTTCACGGTCAGGAAAGCACCTGCTCATTTCAACGAAAGCAAACACATCACGTGGTCCACGTACAACGCTATCATCCTCGGCACCTTTGTCCTCATCCTCAAGTAAGTAAACGCCCACGACGTCCAGTATCTGTAGATGATGATGATGTCCTCACCCCGAAGCAAGGGAGTTTTTTTTCTTCATATTTTTATTCATTTCAGAAGGATGTTACATTTCCTCTTGTTTTCACGTACAACTTCATGACTGGGAGTTAACTGACTGTAAAAGTCCAGTTTCCGACCTTGCCGAACTAGCTCGGAATTTCTGGGTTCGATTGTAGCGCCACCAGTGGTTATTACGAGTTATGTCCCTTCTATGTCCCTCCACCAATCAGATTCCACCTCTGATATCACTTGCATTTGCTTCAAACAAAATGGCGGCGCCCAGTCAAGATGATCTGATCAATAATCAGATCTATATTCTAATAAAATTGATCTTTCTTCGCGAAGTGTATCAAATCACATGAGCACCTTCATTAAAAACCTTAAATGATTTGGAAAATATCTGTTGACGCTAAGTTGACGGTACACATGCTTTGCAAATACTGCAATCGACCAACATTCGCACATCGGTTAACGATCCGGATGTTGATTTCGTTACGCGATTTTGATTGGACTATGCATAGACTCGTTAGTCCAGCCAAAATATAACTCCATAATTCCAGCGTAGTTCGGCAAGGGTGGAAACTGGACCTTTATAGTCAGTTAAGTCCCTTGACTCGGGAAGATGACACGTGTGTGAGATATCAAGGCTAATACGCCAAGCTGACTACATGTTGGAACTGATATTTATAACAAGACACGCATTGGCGTCATTTTAAATGTAACATAATAAGTGTACCTTCTTGTGCTGCCAAATGTGTTATATTATTACTTTATGGCAATTTCCCCCAAATCATCTTTTACGCTTGCTTAATGGTTTCACCAAAGGGGTAATTATCAAAAGCATCTTCCCACACTAACGATCATAGAATCTCACAACTCCGATTATCTGCCATTAGACCGCCTCACATAACGACCGTAAGACCTTATCTGCACGCACTAACCATCATTAGACCTTACCTGGTCACACTAACGATCATAAGACATTGTCTGCTGAAACTGGCGACGATTAGATCTTTCCTTGTCATACTAAGGACCATTCAGCTTTCTCAAACAAACGACTATTAGACCTTACCTAGTCACACTGACGACAATTAGACCTTCCCCTGCTAACGCTAACGACCATTAGATCTTACTTAGTCACACTAACGACCATTAGACCTTCCCTCAATCACACTAACGACCATTAGACCTCCCCCCGATCAAACTAACGACCATTAGACCTTACTTGCTAATGCTTACAACCATTAGACCTTACCTAGTCACACTAACGACCATTAGACCTTCCCCCGATCAAACTAACGACCATTGTACATTACCTAGTCACTCACGACCATTAGACCTTCCCCCGATCAAACTAACGACCATTAGACCTTCCCCCGATCACACTAACGACCATTATACATTACCTAGTCACTCACGACCATTAGACCTTCCCCCGATCACACTAACGACCATTAGACCTTACCTAATTACTCACGACCATTAGACCTTCCCCCGATCACACCGACGACAATTATATATTACCTAGGCACACTAACGACCTTCAGACCTCACGCTGTTACTCTAACGACCTAGGCACTCACGACTATTAGACCGTACCTGCTAACACTAACTACCATTAGACCTTCCCCCGCTCACACTAACGACGTTTCGACCTCACCTAGTCACACTAAGGACCATTAGACCTCACCCTGTTCACTCTAACGACCATTAGACCTCACCTAGTTACTCATGACCATTAGACCTTCCCCCGATAACACTAACGACCATTAGATCAACCCCCGTTCACAGTAACCATACATTGTGAAATCTCGCCCCGTATTTCGAACTCATTTCTAATCCCAATCGTACAGTGTCAACATTTGATGCATAGTTCCCTGAGTAACGCTCCCCGTGGAACACGTCCATCAACAACATGGCGTCCCTGTTGCCTCCCCAGATGGACTTCCAGAGAGGACTAGTTAAACAAATACATGTCCATACATCTGTGGGGTCATTTGAGTTCAGCATGTTGATTTAGTTGGAGGCGGTGGTGTATCCCCTGGTGAATGTTGCAATTAATTCATATGTCTTTTAGGTGTACCCCTTGAATGTTTCAGTCATGTTTCATGTCGTTGAGGTATCTATTGTTGAATGTTTCAGTCATGTTACATGTCGTTAAGGTATCTACTGATGAATGTTTCAGTCATGTTACATGTCGTTGAGGTATCTACTGATGAATGTTTCAGTCATGTTACATGTCGTTGAGGTATCTACTGATGAATGTTTGACGCATGTTACATGTCGTTGAGGTATCTACTGATGAATGTTTCAGTCAGTTAATCGCGGTGTCGGCAGGCCCGGACATCGTGTACGTTCTTCAGATGGCCGAACTTCAGGCTCTCGTCACCATCACAATGACGCTTATCTTCGCTCCAAAGGTAGGACACTAAGCCGTATGTGATTTAGTTAGAATATCCATAGATACATTAAAACATTCTAAAACATTTTGAACAAAGCAGGTACACAACCTTTTAGAATTCAACATATATGTAACGTGTAGTTGAGTAACATGTATGGGTGTGGTCGCAGAGAACAGACAGAGCCCCCCACAGCTTTCGGTCCAGCGGATAGGCCATTGATGGATATTGATTCTAACGTAATCTCAGATCGGACAGAAACGTCAACGATCGAACGCAATTACCGTCGTGTTAAGGAAAGTTAATCTCACCACTCGAAATAATCAACTTGCGTTACATACGCATAAAGAGTTAAGAATAATTAATTGCGAGCGGGGTCGGAGTTTTTGTTGTTTTTTGTTTTTAATTGGGGGGTAGGGGGGCAGGATAGAGAAGGTGCGGTCGTGTGTGTGTGTGTGTGGGGGGGGGGGGGGGGGGGGGGATGAGTGGGTGATATACGGACCCATTTAGCTTTCAAAATAATTATATTATTTGCCTACCTGTAGCCGATTAAATTTGCTTCATTGTTGTGTGCTGAATCCGCCCTGTATCAATCACTAAACAGAACTGGCGTCATTATGTAGAATAACCACGCCCTTTCGCCGGCTCTGCAATTACTCCCGGCTTTATAACAGGGGGAACAAACTAAATCTTGTTTCTCCCGGAAACCGTTGCTATCCGTATCCTTTAATCAGGTAATAACGACACGGGCTGTCACAGACAGTACATTCATTACGAAAATTATCTTTAATATTTCAATTTTTTGTTGCAGTGAAATATTCCATCCGACATGGTTAACGGATATTGATAGCCTAAATTATAATGTTTAGAGATGAGAAACTGCATTTATTTTAGAACATATATCCATATTTCACGACAGTGAGATAACACTTGATACCGGGACTACTTTCAGTCTCTAGACCGCCTCCGTGGTCTAGTTGTAGAGCGTCCGCCCGGAGAGGGACTACTTTCAGTCTCTAGACCGCCTCCGTGGTCTAGTTGTAGAGCGTCCGCCCGGAGAGGGACTACTTTCAGTCTCTAGACCGCCTCCGTGGTCTAGTGGTAGAGCGTCCGCCCGGAGAGGGACTACTTTCAGTCTCTAGACCGCCTCCGTTGTCTAGTGGTAGAGCGTCCGCCCGGAGAGGGACTACTTTCAGTCTCTAGACCGCCTCCGTTGTCTAGTGGTAGAGCGTCCGCCCGGAGGGGGACTACTTTCAGTCTCTGGAACCGCCTCCGTGGTCTAGTGGTAGAGAGTCCGCCCGGAGAGCCGAAGGTCGGGTTCGATCCCCTCCCGCATCATACAAAACATTAAAAAGATGGTAATTGTTGTTACCCTGCCTGGTGCTCGGCATTAAAGTTTCTAAAACAAGGACTGGTCGGCTCGGAATCAGTATACTGTGTCATGGAGAAGAGTGAGTGAGTATAGTTTTACGCCGCTTTTAGCAATATTCCAGCAATATCACGGCGGAGGGCACCAGATAAATTGGCTTCACACATTGTACCCATGTCGGGAATCGAACCCGGGTCCTCGGCGTGACGAGCGAACGCTTTAACCACCAGGCTACCCGACCGCCCGTCGTGGAGAAGAAGTATATAATACTAGGTACTCGCTTTACCCAGATGTGTTCATGGGGTAGAAGAAATATAGAATACTAGGTACTCGCTTTACCCAGATGTGTTCATGGGGTTGAAGAAATATAGAATACTAGGTACTCGCTTTACCCAGATGTGTTCATGGGGTTGAAGAAATATAGAATACTAGGTACTCGCTTTACCCAGATGTGTTCATGGGGTTGAAGAAATATAGAATACTAGGTACTCGCTTTACCCAGATGTGTTCATGGGGTTGAAGAAATATAGAATACTAGGTACTCGCTTTACCCAGATATGTTCATGAGACGGATGGAAGATTTTTAGAATACTGGATACTGTTTAAGATGTCAGACAATAATATTTCGTTACGATTATATAGAGACCTGTCCAGTGTAACGTTCTCCAGCTCCCACTCATAGTGTTCAGGCTGAAGATTCCATTCACCGTTCGTTATGAACTTATGTAGATGGTATTAACTGTCTCAATACCCCTCTCACATGTTGAGTCAATCTCATTAAAATAAGATCTTAGTTTTTTGCTACCGCTAAACAAAGATCTGAGGACATCCCATTACGGGTCACGTCAGCACGACCTTTCGCGAATTTTGACCGACCAATGAAATGACTGACAAGAAATCGACATTGGCCAATCAGAAGGCAGCTTTCTCGAGCTTTACGACACTAGTTTCAAACTGGCGACTGCGCTTCGAAACATATTTTGACGTATTCTCGGTTAAACATTTTAAAACTGATAATAAGAACATTCTGGAATGGCTTATAGATGGCATAGATTGTATGGATATAATCATAAAACCTGTAACTGTCGTTCGGAATACCCCGTGTCAAATATATCGTGGTTGCATGATTAGAAAACACATTCCGACTGTCACTTTCATGATCTGGTAAGCGACGCTCTGATTGGTTGGATGAAAGGTCGTTCTGACGTGACCCGTAATGGGATGTCCTCAGATCTTAGTTTAGCGATAGCGAGAACGAAGAACTGATTTTAATGAGATTGATGTTGAGTAAGACAGCGGTACTGACTGTGTCCTCCCCCCACAGGTCTGGGCTCTGTGGAAAGGAATTGACGCCCAGGAGGAGCGGGGTACGGCGGTGCAGCAAGCCACGACCATCACAGGGAGGGTGAAGCTGACCCTCCCCAGCGTTAGCCAGCCGGAACAACGCAGTGTCGGTGTCCAGGTCATGCCAGACGACGTCTACATCGGCATTGTAGGTCCCGTTATTCTTAATAGCACACAACTTTGATATGATGACGTTCGTAAAGGGGTGCCTCCCTCAGAATCTGGGCCCCTTGCAAAATGCGGTCTTAGCGCTAAGATGATCATAACTCCCATACTTTAACATAGGCTTACGATAGTTTTAGCACTAAAATTGCTTTGTGCAAGTGGGACCTTGTGTCAGATACATACCGTGGTTTATGTTGGGATAAAGTCTCTTCAGAAAACCAAATGGAACTAAATTTCCAATTTGCGAACTGTGGTAAACGAAAATATACGAAAAACGTGTTGGTTGTTTACCAAGAGTTAGTAAACAAAACACCAAACTGCCGAAATTCGCGATTTTTAAATGATGTAAATAGAACGCAAGCCGTAGTCTGTAATTGTATGTAAAAGTCATGTTTAAAGCAGCCCCTTTTTATAGCACGAGGAAGGATAAGGGCTATGTTTGGCTCGCATGATTTGAGGTTTGAAAAAAACTTGTAGAATAGGTTTGAAAATGATCAGATGTGCTTTGACTTGCATGTTTGTGACATATGACAACACACAATAAATACCTATGGATCAAATATGTCAAAATGGCTGATTTGAGAGGTTTTCGGGAAGCGTTTTCCAATGAACATGAGCAAATCTTTGCCCCAAGCTGAGCATCAAAGATATAGATAAAACAGTACTTGCGATTCTTTTGCGTGTGAGTATATGATAAAAGAGTCTTGTTGTGTCACGGATTTAAATTTTCATTAAAAATCCTCCCTTTTCACTCATTTTAGTAATATGTATGTATGTGATCATGTCCTTAGTCCAAAACTACAAGTGTTAAGAAGGAAAAGATAGATATGAGCTATTTGTATATGGCTGATAATTTTCATATCAATGTAGTGAAGTTTGACTTCAAAATCTGAAATTCCAAAAATGGCCCTTACCCTTCCTCAACCTCGTCCTCTGTTTAATCTGACATGGCCATGTCTTTGTTTTCTGCGCTTGACGGTTAAAATGGTAAAAAGAGACTTTATAAAAAACGAGCAATGTTGGATTTGTGTACCGTTTGAAACGTAATATTGAGTTCAATTGTCTTCGGGCTCAACAAACGTTTTTGAGCCTTAACAAACCTACAAATACCGTTGTCGATGTATGCATCAATCGTTTAACAGTAGTGACGGTTATCTGTTTCCGTGACGTGTACATTTCATCCTTATTACCACGTATCACTGTAGCAATACACACATCAGTCTCTGCTGCCTCATCATTTTGAATGAGTGAATGTATTAGGATGTAGAAAACCCATACAATCTGGGACTCGAACTTATCATCCTGCAACGGCTAAGGGAGGCAACTGTGCACAGCGACCTGCCGCGCCTTAGACCATTAGCATGAAGTTGATTTACAAATGGATGTCTGTGCTGATGAATGTGTCATTCCACATTGCTTTCTCTGAACTTGAGTGAGTATGGTTTTACGCCGCTTTTAGCAATATCAGCCACATTACAGCGAGGGCCACCATTAACGGGCGACGTATTGTACCCATATGGTGGGGGAATCGAACCCGGGTCTTCAGCGTGTCGATCGAACGCTTTAGCCACAAGACTACCCCAACCCGGTGAGTGGCCCCGATGATACAGAGGTCATGTCCCCCCAAGAAGTGAGGAGAAACCGTTAAGGGTACAAATATCCTGCTATTTGCATTATTTCGGAGTTATGTATTTATATTTGTTGCAAGTGACGAGGACATCTATCTTAAAGAATATGCTTTATGGTGAGTCGGATTAGTATTGTAGAGCATTTCTGCTATTGAAATTTTATTTATAGCCTTGTGCACTTTCTTTTACGTCTCTGTAGGCAGAACTGATGTAGCTTCCATGACGGCTTTCTAATAGTCACCTCCGCTCTCCTCCTTTGTGCTCAAACAGTCTCATCTTAGAAACGTTCCTAGCTTATCTTTGATTCCAAGCTAATTTCTATTAGCCTCTATATGACCAAGAGCTCTATTGGTCGGGATTGATACGCGGCAAATAACCGATGCTATTGTCAATACGTCTCGGGCTTGTATGCCCTATGCTCCACAATTACCCGCGAGTACATACGGCCAAGGGGGCACGGGTGGCCCAGTCGTCTAAGGCGCCGCGATTCGCTGTGCAGAGTTGCGTCCCTTGGACACGCCAGAAACCTATGATTGTGGGTTCGAATCCCGGTTCGCCCCAATTATGTTTCTAGGTTTGTCAGCACCATACCCGTGCTCGTGGGTTTCACCGAAGTGGTAAACGTCTGAGACCTGCATCACTTCGGGCTTTCCTCCCACATTAAGCTGACACGCCGCGATATAACTGGAATACTGTTAAAAGCGGCGTTAAACCCAACTCACTCACTCACTTACATACGGCCAATATGTGGTGTAGCTGTCAAGGGAGAGATCCGATTCAGCATTCACCGGCTCGTCTCGTTCAGACTCGATTATTAATAGTTTACATTACGCCGTGATAAAGTTGGAATATTGCGGTGTTAAACAACTGGAAAACATAATATCCCTAGATATGGAAATTGCGTACGACGTCTGGACGCAACTTCCATTTAGGAAACTGAGATAGTGTACTAGGGTAGCCTTCAGCTGATTGATTGATACACATCGTAACATTTCAGCTTGTAAACAAAGTGATGTTTGAATGACTTGTCAGGACTGAAAACTGACCCGTGCCGAGTCGTATGTTGTCCTGCCTATCGCTGTCTCTTCATGGTCTTCCTAAGGGGCACGGCTGGCCCAGTCGTCTAAAGCGCCGCGATTCGTTGTGCAAAGTTGCGTTCCTTGGGCACGCCAAAAACCTATGATTGTGGGTTCGAATCCCGGTTCGCCCCGATTATGTTTCTAGGTTTGTCAGCACCATACCCGTGCTCGTGGGTTACACCGAAGTGGTAAACGTCTGAAACCTGCATCACTTCGGGCTTTCCTCCACATTAAGCTGACACGCCGTGATAAAACTGGAATACTGTTAAAAGAGGCTTTAAACCCAACTCACTCACTCATGCATATTCTTCCTCTCCCTACGCAGGTCGTCTTTGAATGTGAGTCAGTTAACTTTCAACTTTATTTGGCTTATCAGATATAGCTTATATTCTATTTTTTTGTCATCTTGCCACAACCAAATACAACCGATCGCGACTGCCCAAAACTCTCTTTCGACACAATGTGTTTCCGTGTTAAATATGATAATTCGTTTAAAACCCTTCCTGACACAGGACATCCTCATTGACGAGGAACTGAATTCTCCAGACAGGCTGGATTTTCCGCGTTTCACTTCTCGGTAAAAGAGTTACCATCCTATCACGTAAAATGTTGGTTTCATTTCAAATAGCATTTTTGAATAATGAAACGTGGTTCATTCACCAACTAGGAAGGAATTGAAATTTGAATCTTTAGGGATATCACTGTTCAATGTTACATGATTCCCACAGTATGTCAAACCTTATGGTGTTCGCGAGACGGGTGATCAAGTCTGTGACTATCTGATATGAGCTTAAGTAAGGTTTTTTATATCCTGGTAGGAAAATCAATGATTAAAATGATTAAGATCTTGAAAAGTTGGAAGCAGTTATGAGGGCTCAAAGAACATATCCATTCATTGGCATGGGTTTCTCCTCGTTGATCATGTCATAATCCTCACTTCTGGCAGGAAGTTTTCTGTAGGGTGTGCATTCTGAAGTCGCATTCTCTAGGTAATTTGATTACTTCGATTCACCTCCGGGGTTTTGGAACGTCAACGCTTACTACAGTAGAACTTCAAATCAAAAAGTCATAGGGCTTTAGTAACTTGTAAAAAAGCTTTCAGTACTTCCGATTCCTGCTACGTCACTTCCGGTTTTGCAAAACGTTGGGTTTCTGCAGAAGACCCCCAAACCAAATAACCCATGACTTATTCATTTAGTAATACCAATTTCGGTCCCAGAAAACTATGACAGGTATTGCAGTTGGCCTTAAAAGGCCATTAAGGTCTAGAATAGTAGTTACTGTACAACTGGTTATGACACTGCTTGTTGCAGTAAAACGTCCATTGAAAAATACACATGATTCCGGCTTAATAAGTAATAGAGATATTTAAACTTCCAAACTTCCACTTTCAGCAGTAGAACCTCAAAAGAAATACTCTGATAGCATAAGGTCAATAATATAACCTCCAGTCCGAACAAGACGCTTCCAGTTTTGAAAAATATATGCCTACTGCAGTGGAACATCAACCCCTAGTGTCCATGTCCCTTAATAGCTATTAATTCTCCAAGAATCCCGGTGGCTCCAGCTCGCTTGGTAACAAATTTGAGTGTGTTTGTGTTTAGTGTGGACTGTTGAGACACTGTGGGGACAGCATGTCCATGGCTAGGCTCGAAGTGGAACATATGTAATCAACACAAGCCGTGGCCAAGTCCAACATGGAACTACAAAGTTCAACTTTATCTAATGTCACCGATCCTGGCAAAGTTCGGACTTTCTTGTAGAAATTGGATTTGGGGAATTAAAATATAAATATGAGAGATGTGTGTATATACTAGCACAAAATAGTCCTCATAAACACAAACTAGAAATCTGTATCATGGGCGCAATGTGTCCGGCTGGGATTCCACGAAGTCTGCCACCAGGATGAATAAGTAAGGGTCGAGGTTCTCCTTGTCTCACACCTTCATAAAGACCAATCGGTTGAAGGCGGGCAGGGGCGGTTTTAGAGACAATCACTACAATTGTGCATGTAATTTCCAATACTGAAAGAAATAAAAGGATTTATTCTGCAGTGTATCCAATGTGCAGTATGGCTGTCGTTATTACCATGTTACATTAGTTGAATATATGTGCAGACGTATTGCGAAAGGAATCTCAGTATTTTCTTCAGATTCATATTTCCTGCTTAACGTAATTCGGCTTATTTGTGTATTTTTTCTAATCTATCAATACCTTTGTATTTCTGGCCTGTAAAGCGTTGTTCATAACTTACTTTTTATATTTCCTACTCCTTTAGTGACACCTTCGTATAATTCTCACTACAATTTTACTCGCTGCCTAGAATATTTAGATATTTCCCATTCATTACCTTTCATATGCTGATAGCATTCCTCAGTATATCTTCTTAGCCTAGTATATATTCCGTTGTTTGTTGACAGAGTTGGTTTTGTTAAATATTATTTGATGCAATATTATCGTATTTAAATATTTCCCAAAACACATTTTTACCACACAGACGTATTGTTGATTAATTAATGTTTTCTGTACTTGTATTAAATGCTTGGATTAAGTGTGATATTCCTGCCACATGTATATATCTGTCCTCCTGGTCTGTCCAGTGCCCCAAGTGTGGTCCCCACTTCCTCTCTCTCGAAATATATGCCTATCTCGAAGTTTGTCATATATCTAGACTTCTCTATCTCGAAGTTCATGCACATCTGGAAGTCTGTTCAGTGTCACTATTTCTCCTTCACCTAGCATTTTGAAATACATGCCTATCTCAAAGTGTACCCCAACCTTCAAAATACATGCCTATCTCAAAGTGTACCCCAACCTTCAAAATACATGCCTATCTCTTAGTACACCAGGGGCGGTCGGGTAGCCTGGTGGTTAAAGCGTTCGCTCGTCACGCCGAAGACCCGGGTTCGATTCCCAACATGGGTACAATGTGTGAAGCCAATTTCTGGTGTCCCCCGCCGTGATATTGCTGGAATATTGCGAAAAGCGGCGTGAAACCATACTCATTCACTCACTCTTAGTACACCAACCCCAACTCAAAATACTGTAAACTACGGTTATAACGAACACGCTTATAGCGAACTTACGGATATAACGAACTTACTTTTTGGGCCCGACTTTTTGCTGTAGTCATGCTGTATATATGCTTATAACGAACTACGGTTATAACGAACTAAAATTAGTAGTCCCTTTGAGTTCGTTATAACCGTACTTTACTGTACACGCTTATTTCGACGTGTACAAAGTAAGGAGTAGACCCCACCTCCTCAATGTGGAAATACATGCCTGTGGCCTGTCTCAAATTTGTGTACCGCCCAACCTCCTCCTGTGTAGAAATGCATGATTATCTCGAAATACGTCCCATCCCACCTCCTCCATTTGGAAAATAAACATGTCTATCTCGAACTCTGCCCCATCCCACCTCATCTGTCTCGAGGTACATGCGTATCTCGAAATGTGTTCCTCCCTACCCCTTTTATGTCGATATGTCACGAAGTGTACCAAACCGTTCCTATGGACCAACTCCATTACCTATTGTGGCTCTTGATAAGGACCCTCATCTAACTTTCGGGAGGGATGGGGGTGAATGTTGCCAGAGACCGGCCAACATCTCGGGCACTGCTTATAAAAAAGGAACTATTTTTTGGAGGAGTCGATCATTTTTTTAATCTCACAACCATTGCTTAACATGTAACCGAGCATGTCGAGTGAACGGTTTACTTTTTAGGGTAACTTATTTAATTTTTCCAATTACAGTAAACTACGGTTATAACGAACACGCTTATAACGAACTGGCGGATATAACGAACTAACTTTTTGGTCCCGACTATTTCCCGTAGTTATGCTGTATATATGCTTATAACGAATTACGGTTATAACGAACTAAAATTAGTAGTCCCTTTGAGTTCGTTATAACCGTAGTTAACTGTACTTCTGAATTGTTGTTTTTTACAAAATTGCAAAGAAAAAAGTTACCCTTCCTCCACGAATATCAAATTGTCGGCGTCGATTGGATATTTATACGTTCTATTGTAAATTATGTGCCATTCTTACTGAAGACGTTCATCGCATTAAAATCTCTTACTTGATCCTTTGCAGGAAGAATCGCCACGGGCCAAAAAGAGCGTCAATGGATCAAAGAAATCTGCGAAGGTTGTCCCTTTGTAACACTCGGAGCTCGTGTTCGAATCCTAATCCTTGACAACGAACAATCACTGGATTGTTTCAAGGTCATCACAGATATCATGGATCGACATTCCACTAATCTCAATAATCTCGATAATCACTTGCAAATGCCCACACCATGCCCACATCACCGCAAACCATTCTCCTGGTCCTGGTGAAATCAACTGTCCACTACTTTGGTCGAGACTGAAACTACAGCTAGGAGGCTATGTGAAGTAATGTTACGAATTGTTATAGATATTGCCAGGCTGAATAATCAGGAGGGTTGACGCTTTGGAACAGTATGAAGTCGAACAGTAGTGCAAATAACATTAAAGCTTCGATAAATTGCGGATTATCCGTCCCGATGAAGTAAATTTTGGGAAGGGATTGTGGAGGTGGGGCCAGTGTGTGTGTGTGTGTGTGTGTGTGTGTGTGTGTGTGTGTGTGTGTGTGTGTGTGTGTGTGTGTGTGTGTGTGTGTGTGTGTGTGTGTGTGTGTGTGTGTGTGTGTGTTGAATGGGGGGGGGGTCTTTGTTGAAAGGTCTCACATGATATTTAATGAGCTATGGATGATGTCATTTATAACTACCTGAACACAGTATTGATGTGATGGCAATTTGCTTGAGGCAAATTGGTATACAAAGTTACCAGTTGCTCAGTGCGACTTAAATAGCCTCGATACCCGTGTTCCAATGGGCTCCGCACAGCTGTAGGTCCATGTGTCCATCACAGTAGGTCACATATGTAGGTCTCTTCTCCATCATAGTAGGTCACTGCTGTAGGGTCATGTCTCCAACACAGTAGGTCACAGCTGTAGGGTCATGTCTCCATCACAGTAGGTCACAGCTGTAGGTCCATGTGTCCATCACAGTAGGTCACAGCTGTAGGTCAATGTGTCCATCACAGTAGGTCACAGCTGGAGGGCCATTCTTCATCACAGTAGGTCACAAACTGTAGGCCCCTGTCTCCATCATAGTAGGTCACAGCTGTAGGGTCATGTCTCCAACACAGTAGGTCACAGCTGTAAGGTCATGTCTCCATCACAGTAGGTCACAGCTGTAGGTCCATGTGTCCATCACAGTAGGTCACAGCTGTAGGCGCATGTCTCCATCACAGTAGGTCACAGCTGTAGGTCTCTTCTCCATCATAGTAGGTCACCAACTGTAGGTCCATGTGTCCATCACAGTAGGTCACAGCTGTGGGTCTCTTCTCCATCACAGTAGGTCACAGCTGTAGGTCCATGTCTCAATCACAGTAGGTCACAGGTGTAGGTCCATGTCTCCATCAAAGTAGGTCACAGGTGTGGGTCCATTTGTCCATCACAGTAGGTCACAGCTGTAGGTCTCTTCTCCATCACAGTAGGTCACCAACTGTAGGTCCATGTGTCCATCACAGTAGGTCACAGCTGTAGGTCCATGTCTCCACCACATTAGGTCACAGCTGTAGGTCCATGTCTCCATCACAGTAGGTCACAGTTGTGGGGCCATGTCTCCACCACAGTAGGTCACCAACTGTAGGTCCATGTCTCCATCACAGTAGGTCACCAACTGTAGGTCCATGTCTCCATCACAGTAGGTCACCAACTGTAGGTCCATGTCTCCATCACAGTAGGTCACAGCTGTGGGTCTCTTCTCCATCACAGTAGGTCACAGCTGTAGGTCCATGCCTCCACCACAGTAGGTCACAGCTGTAGGTCCATGTCTCCACCACAGTAGGTCACAGCTGTAGGTCCATGTCTCCACCACAGTAGGTCACAGCTGTAGGTCCATGTCTCCATCACAGTAGGTCACAGCTGTATGTCCATGCCTCCACCACAGTAGGTCACAGCTGTAGGTCCATGTCTCCACCACAGTAGGTCACAGCTGTAGGTCCATGTCTCCACCACAGTAGGTCATAGCTGTAGGTCCATGTCTCCACCGCAGTAGGTCACAGTTGTGGGTCCATGTCTCCAACGCAGTAGGTCACAGCTGTAGGGTCATGTCTCCACCACAGTAGGTCACAGCTGTATGTCCATGTGTCCATCACAGTAGGTCACAGCTGTAGGTCTCTTCTCCATCACAGTAGGTCACCAACTGTAGGTCCATGTGTCCATCACAGTAGGTCACAGCTGTAGGTCCATGTTTCCACCACATTAGGTCACAGCTGTAGGTCCATGTCTCCATCACAGTAGGTCACAGCTGTAGGTCCATGTCTCCACCACAGTAGGTCACAGCTGTAGGTCTCTTCTCCATCACAGTAGGTCACCAACTGTAGGTCCATGTGTCCATCACAGTAGGTCACAGCTGTAGGTCCATGTTTCCACCACATTAGGTCACAGCTGTAGGTCCATGTCTCCATCACAGTAGGTCACAGCTGTAGGTCCATGTTTCAACCACATTAGGTCACAGCTGTAGGTCCATGTCTCCACCACAGTAGGTCACAGCTGTAGGGCCATTTGTCCATGTCTCCATCACAGTAGGTCACAGCTGTAGGTCCATGTGTCCACCTCAGTAGGTCACAGCTGTAGGTCCATGTCTCCATCACAGTAGGTCACCAACTGTAGGTCCATGTCTCCATCACAGTAGGTCACAGCTGTGGGTCTCATCTCCATCACAGTAGGTCACAGCTGTATGTCCATGCCTCCACCACAGTAGGTCACAGCTGTAGGTCCATGTCTCCACCACATTAGGTCACAGCTGTAGGTCCATGTCTCCACCACAGTAGGTCATAGCTGTAGGTCCATGTCTCCACCGCAGTAGGTCACAGTTGTGGGTCCATGTCTCCAACACAGTAGGTCACAGCTGTAGGGTCATGTCTCCACCACAGTAGGTCACAGCTCTTATGTCCATGTGTCCATCACAGTAGGTCACAGCTGTAGGTCCATGTCTCCATCACAGTAGGTCACAGCTGTAGGTCTCTTCTCCATCACAGTAGGTCACCAACTGTAGGTCCATGTGTCCATCACAGTAGGTCACAGCTGTAGGTCCATGTTTCCACCACATTAGGTCACAGCTGTAGGTCCATGTCTCAATCAGAGTAGGTCACAGCTGTAGGTCCATGTCTCCACCACAGTAGGTCACAGCTGTAGGTGCATGTCTCCACCACAGTAGGTCACAGCTGTAGGGCCATTTGTCCATGTCTCCATCACAGTAGGTCACAGCTGTAGGTCCATGTGTCCACCTCAGTAGGTCACAGCTGTAGGTCCATGTCTCCATCACAGTAGGTCACCAACTGTAGGTCCATGTCTCCATCACAGTAGGTCACAGCTGTGGGTCTCTCTCCATCACAGTAGGTCACAGCTGTATGTCCATGCCTCCACCACAGTAGGTCACAGCTGTAGGTCCATGTCTCCACCACATTAGGTCACAGCTGTAGGTGCATGTCTCCACCACAGTAGGTCACAGCTGTAGGGCCATTTGTCCATGTCTCCATCACAGTAGGTCACAGCTGTAGGTCCATGTGTCCACCTCAGTAGGTCACAGCTGTAGGTCCATGTCTCCATCACAGTAGGTCACAGCTGTAGGGCCATGTGTCCACATCAGTAGGTCACAGCTGTAGATCCATGTTTCCATCACAGTAGGTCACAGTTGTGGGTCCATGTCTCAATCACAGTAGGTCACAGCTGTAGGTCTCTTCTCCATCACAGTAGGTCACCAACTGTAGGTCCATGTGTCCACCTCAGTAGGTCACAGCTGTAGGTGCATGTATCCATATCAGTAGGTCACAGTTGTAGGTCCATGTGATCATCACAGTAGGTCACAGCTGTAGGTGCATGTCTCCACCACAGTAGGTCACAGCTGTAGGGCCATGTGTCCATGTCTTCATCACAGTAGGTCACAGCTGTAGGTCCATGTGTCCACCTCAGTAGGTCACAACTGTAGGTCCATGTTTCCATCACAGTAGGTCACAGATGTAGGTCCATGTGTCCACATCAGTAGGTCACAACTGTAGGTCCATGTTTCCATCACAGTAGGTCACAGATGTAGGTCTATGTCTCCATCACAGTAGGTTACAGCTGTAGGTCCCTTCTCCATCACAGTAGGTCACCAACTGTAGGTCCATGTGTCAATGTGTCCATCACAGTAGGTCACAGTTGTGGGTCCATGTCTCAATCACAGTAGGTCACAGCTGTAGGTCTCTTCTCCATCACAGTAGGTCACCAACTGTAGGTCCATGTGTCCACCTCAGTAGGTCACAGCTGTAGGTGCATGTATCCATATCAGTAGGTCACAGTTGTAGGTCCATGTGATCATCACAGTAGGTCACAGCTGTAGGTGCATGTCTCCACCACAGTAGGTCACAGCTGTAGGGCCATGTGTCCATGTCTTCATCACAGTAGGTCACAGCTGTAGGTCCATGTGTCCACCTCAGTAGGTCACAACTGTAGGTCCATGTTTCCATCACAGTAGGTCACAGATGTAGGTCCATGTGTCCACATCAGTAGGTCACAACTGTAGGTCCATGTTTCCATCACAGTAGGTCACAGATGTAGGTCTATGTCTCCATCACAGTAGGTTACAGCTGTAGGTCCCTTCTCCATCACAGTAGGTCACCAACTGTAGGTCCATGTGTCAATGTGTCCATCACAGTAGGTCACTGTTGTGGGTCCATGTCTCAATCACAGTAGGTCACAGCTGTAGGTCTCTTCTCCATCACAGTAGGTCACCAACTGTAGGTCCATGTGTCCACCTCAGTAGGTCACAGCTGTAGGTGCATGTATCCATATCAGTAGGTCACAGTTGTAGGTCCATGTGATCATCACAGTAGGTCACAGCTGTAGGTGCATGTCTCCACCACAGTAGGTCACAGCTGTAGGGCCATGTGTCCATGTCTTCATCACAGTAGGTCACAGCTGTAGGTCCATGTGTCCACCTCAGTAGGTCACAACTGTAGGTCCATGTTTCCATCACAGTAGGTCACAGATGTAGGTCCATGTGTCCACATCAGTAGGTCACAACTGTAGGTCCATGTTTCCATCACAGTAGGTCACAGATGTAGGTCTATGTCTCCATCACAGTAGGTTACAGCTGTATGTCCCTTCTCCATCACAGTAGGTCACCAACTGTAGGTCCATGTGTCCATGTGTCCATCACAGTAGGTCACAGCTGTAGGTCCATGTCTCCATCACAGTAGGTCACAGCTTTTGGCCAATACAGAGAATTATGCTCAACGAAAGCAAATAATAAATAGTATTGAGTACTCATAAAGGGTTTCTTGTCAGAGCAGGTTGAGAGAGTTAAGGAGAGGGCATGATGACGGCCTAACATTCAGGAAAATCTTTCAACATCAAACTGCTACACGTGATATTGAGTGTTGAACAGTTGAATGTGTAATGCCGTCATTGTTATATATATGCAATATATTTTCTGATCAGATTTAGTGTTTACGGTAATCAAACATAACAAGGTCGCTCGTTATACTAGAGTTCTTTTAAAGTGGAAACTGAGGACCATATTTAGCTTTTTACAGGAGTGGGCCATGCCAAGTTTATGACATGGGAGCCATATTTCTGTCACGTGATCTGTTGTTCCACCAATGAGAAGATGAGTCATGGCAGGCCTAGTTTGATTGATCAAGATCAAATATCCTCTCGTTAGCTGAATAATATGAAGCTATCTGCCATTTATGAATGGGATATCTGGTGCAAGTCAAAATAAGGAATCAAATTTCGAAAGGTCCTCTACATGTCTACCTTAACATTTTTAAGCATGACTAAGGCTTTGGATATTGTAAACCTGGTCTACACATTCACCAGTTAGGACTGAGGCTCAAGAGAATTTGCGGTCCCAGCTCGATTTAATCTAGTCGTTAGACATGAACGCAGGTTTAATGACGTAACGCAATCTACCAATTAGGATCTAAGGTCAAGAGAACAAGCGGCCCTAGCTAGATGTTCAACCTAACGAAGCAGAGACATATTTAACTGATGGGGATATTGTCTTTCGTTGTTTATCTTGTGAAGTATGTATTGTATTGCTGTATCTGCGTGATATAATGGATTGAAACATTCCGTCCATTAGCCTCTATGAGTGTTTGGAGAGGAGGCTAAAGGCTCATTGAGAGGTTGGCCTTAGATGCCTTTTAAGTAAAGTGGACAGTCTTTGTACATAGCATTTGAAGATATTCTTATTATTCATTTATTCATTCCAACTATATCTAATTTTCTTTTGTTCTTGTAAATTACGCAACTAATCGGACTAAATAATCAAATAAATAGATTATCATATACTGACCAAAGAAAGTTAGGGATCATGTCCATTTTTGTGGATATTTTTATGAAAGTGTGTTTTCAGTCTTCACTACAATAATCTCCCCATTATATTCTTGATCTTTAACCTTTTTTGGTCAGTATATAGAATAATCCACACATGACCTATCACTGCCACAACGGTCATATATACTGATGATATACTGAACGGTTATGAAGAGGAACGTGGGTAAACTATGACATATGGCACCAAAATGCAAACAAGAAAGTAGTGAAAACCCCAGATATCACTGCAGAGAAGGCGGTCGGGTAGCCTAGTGGTTAAAGCGTTCGCTCGTCACACCACTCATCGGGGGTGGGGTAGCCTTGTGGCTTAAGCGTTTGATCGACATGCTGAAGACCCAGGTTAGATCCCCCATATGGGTACAATAAGTGGAGCCCATTTCTGGTGTCCCCCGCCGTGATATTGCTGGAATATTGCTAAAAGCGGCGTAAAACGTCACTCACTCACTCAATCACAGGGGGCACAGATGGCCCAGTCGTCTAAGGCGCCGCAATTCACTGTGTAGAGTTGCGTCCCTTGGGCACGTCAGAAACCTATGATTGTGGGTTCGAATCCCGGTTCGGACCGATTATGTTTCTAGGTTTGTCAGCACCATACCCGTGCTCGTGGGTTTAACCGAAGTGGTAAACGTCTGAGACCTGCATCACTTCGAGCTTTCCTCCCACATTAAGCTGACACGCCGCGATATAACTGGAATACTGTTAAAAGCGGCGTTAAACCCAACTCACTCACTCACTCACTGCAGAGGCGTATGTTGGTAACATGTTGCATTGTTCTCAGCAGGAGTATACATTTAACTTCAGTGTTATTATGAACTCTCTTTATAGTTTCAACTGTATACTGCGAAAGCCTCATAGTGTCACTTTCGTAGCATATATATTTGTATCTATAAATTAAAATTTCTCTACTTTCCCGAATTTTCGATTTTTTCTCGTTATTTCAAATATATTTTAGTAATTTCAATTTTTTTCTCATTACTTTGAGTTTTTTCTCGTAATTTCAATTATTTTTTCTTATGTCAAGTTTATTTCAAAACCTCAAAATTTCGAGAAATTAATTGATATAATGAGAAAAGAAATCGAAGTAACGCGAAGTTTAGATTAAAAAAAATAAATTAATGCTACCAAGTCGAGCGAACACTTTAACCACTAGGCTAACCCACCGGTGCTTCGTTTCGGAAGTGACGCTGCCATATTTCCCCTTCTTATCACTAACACAGAATTTCTCAAATGGGTGGAATATGGTTGATTATTTTTAGTGACTTGTATTTTGAATGCGGTTAAAAAAAAGCTACGCCAGCAAATGTACCTTGGAAATTTATTCAAACAGAATGGTGATAAGATACGCTGGATATCCAACGATTGTTGATATCAATTAATATCGATCTCTATAAGCATGCTTTGACTTGGTCGCTGTCGATATTTTCTGCGTGATACTTTAAGATGAAGTTGATGACGCTGATGTGTATCATATTGATAACAGTGCTGAAGATGGTCATTTTGTCACATGCCTTAATATTGCATTTTGTTACAGTGTCAATATTCAGGCCTCGTTGTATATGTATATATGGCCTGTCGTTATGTATGAATGTATACTGAAGCGTTGTTGATTAATAAAGTGTTTCGTTTGTCAGTTAATGGCACCGTGTTGTATTACATGGAGGTGGTGGGCAACCGTTCTGACAGTACTGAACTGTGGAAGTTGATTCCGCTAGGCAGTTCATTCGACTATTGACCGCCTCCGTGGTCTAGTGGTAGAGCGTCCGCCCGGAGAGCGGAATGTCCGGGTTCGATCCCCGACTGCGTCATACCAAAAGACGTTAAAAGATGGTACTTGTTGTTACCCTGTCTGGCGCTCGGCATTAAGGGGCTAAAACAAGGACTGGTCGGCTCGGAGTCAGTAAACTGTGTCTGAGTGGGGTTTTCATGTTAAACTGCGGCATGGTATCTCAGTGGGCTGGCACTATAAATCGGCATCAGTCCGGACTAGTACAAGCAGCCACACACACGTGCATGCACGTCGCTATATAAGTGCAATAATCTTTGACTCGACGTTAAACCCCATTTCACCTCACCTCATTCCACTAGGGTCTACAAGTGGCTGTCAGTGAGTGAGTATAACAGTATTCCAGTTATATCACGAGGGATATACGTGGGAGGAAAGCCCTAAGTGATGAAGGTCTCAGACGTTTACCACTTCGGTGAAACCCACGAGCACGGGTACGGTGCTGACAAACCTAGAAACATAATCGGGGCGAACCAGGATTCGAACCTACAATCATAGGTTTCTGACGTGCCCAAGGGAGGCAACTCTGCATTAGAGAATTGCGGCGCCTTAGACGACTGGGCCACCCGTGCCCCCACAAGTGGCTGTCAGGATCTATCCTGTTGAATTTTATATTGAATCTTGTGAGCTCGGTAGGGCAGCAGTATTACAGCTACATCGACCCAGGTTCGATTCCCCATATGGGTACACTAAGTGGAGCCCATTTCTGGTGTCTGGAATATTGCTAAAAGCGGCGTAAAACGTCACCCACTCAATCACAGGGGGCACGGGTGGCCCAGTCGTCTAAGGCGCCGCGATTCGCTGTGCAGATTTGGGTCCCTTTGGCACGCCAGAAACCTATGATTGTGGGGTCTAATCCCGGTTCGCCCCGATTATGTTTCTAGGTTTGTCAGCACTATACCCGTGCTCGTGGGTTTCACCGAAGTGGTAAACGTCTGAGACCTGCATCACTTCGGGCTTTCCTCCCACATTAAGCTGACACGCCGCGATATAACTGGAATACTGTTAAAAGCGGCGTTAAACCCAACTCACTCACTGCAGAGGCGTATGTTAATAACATGTTGCATTGTTCTCAGCAGCAGCATACAGTAATCTTCAGTGTTTCTATGAACTCTCTTTATAGTTTCAACTGTATACTGCGAAAGCCTAATAGTGTCACTTTCGTAGCATATATACCTGTATGTATAAATCAAAATTTCTCTACTTTCCCGAATTTTCGATATTTTCTCGTTATTTCGAATATATTTTAGTAATTTCAATTTTTTTCTCATTACTTTGAGTTTTTTCTCGTAATTTCAATTATTTTCTCTTATTTCAAGTTTATTTCAAAAACTCAAAATTTCGAGAAAATAATTGATGTAATGAGAAAAGAAATCGAAGTAACGCGAAGTTTAATTTTAAAAAAAATAATTAATGCTACCAAGTCGAGCGAACACTTTAATCACTAGGCTAACCCACCGGTGCCTCGTTTCGGAAGTGACGCTGCCATATTTCCCCTTCTTATCACTAAACACAGAATTTCTCAAATGGGTGGAATATGGATGATTATTTTTAGTGACTTGTATTTTGAATGCGGTTAAAAAAAAGCTACTCCAGCAAATGTACCTTGGAAATTTATTCAAACAGAATGGTGATAAGATACGCTGGATATCCAACGATTGTTGATATCGATTAATATCGATCTCTATAAGCATGCTTTGACTTGATTGCTGTCGATATTTTCTGCGTGATACTTTAAGATGAAGTTGATGACGCTGATGTGTATCATATTGATAACAGTGCTGAAGATGGTCATTTTGTCACATGCCTTAATATTGCATTTTGTTACATTGTCAATATTCAGGCCTCGTTGTATATGTATATATGGCCTGTCGTTATGTATGAATGTATACTGAAGCGTTGTTGATTAATAAAGTGTTTCGTTTGTCAGTTAATGGCACCGTGTTGTGTTACATGGAGACGGTTGGCAACCGTTCTGACAGTACTGAACTGTGGAAATTGATTCCGCTAGGCAGTTCATTCGACTATTGACCGCCTCCGTGGTCTAGTGGTAGAGCGTCCGCCAGGGGAGCGGAATGTCCGGGTTCGATCCCCGACTGCGTCATACCAAAAGACGTTAAAAGATGGTACTTGTTGTAACCCTGTCTGGCGCTCGGCATTAAGGGGCTAAAACAAGGACTGGTCGGCTCGGAGTCAGTAAATTGTGTCTGAGTGGGGTTTTCATGTTAAACTGCGGCATGGTATCTCAGTGGGCTGGCACTATAAACCGGCATCAGTCCGGACTAGTACAAGCAGCCACACACACGTGCATGCACGTCGCTATATAAGTGCAATAATCTTGGACTCGACGTTAAACCCAATTTCACCTCACCTCATTCAACTAGGGTCTACAAATGGCTGTCAGTGAGTGAGTATAACAGTATTCCAGTTATATCACGAGGAATATACGTGGGAGGGAGGCCCGAAGTGATGAAGGTCTCAGACGTTTACCACTTCGGTGAAACCCACGAGCATGGGAATGGTGCTGACAAACCTAGAAACATAATCGGGGCGAACCAGGATTCGAACCTACAATCATAGGTTTCTGGCGTTGCACAGCGAATTGCGGCGCCTTAGACGACTGGGCCAACGTGCCCCCTCAAGTGGCTGTCAGGATCTATCCTGTTGAATTTTATATTGAATCTGGTGAGCTCGGTAGGGCAGCAGTATTACAACTACATCGAGGGAGTTGCAAACGTTCCATTTTGGATGGGCAAACCAGTGGTTGATAGCCTGAGCCACGACCTATGACGTCGCTATGACACGCAGAATTGTTACAGGCACATCCTCTTTTATCCAGGGTATTATATAGACATGAGCATTAATCGAGCACACTTGATACAAAATCCAATTCCGAAAAATATTGACCAACAACGGAACCCTGACTTGTCAAGATGTTGTAGAATTGTACCTCCGTCATGGGAGAGCTAGAGGTCCTCCAGTCCCAAGACTGAATGAACAGCTCCAGGCACTGCACCGGGAATAGCAGAAGATCCCAAGGCTAAAAAACAGACCTTGATCAGCAGCCTGAGGAGACGCCAAGTGAACTTTTATATTATACATTTATAAAACGCAAGTATCCATGTACCAGTATCTGGTCAAATGTGGATCCGTTTCCATTCAAGTTAACATTCTCAACTCCCTGGGGAGTATACAGCCCAAGCTGCCTAGCTACCCATTCCCTGCCAAGCTGCCTACGGCGCTAGAGGGTTTTTACATCCACCTCACATATCGGATATCCATTCCCTGCTGGGGAACAGAGGCACAATTGAACTTAGATACTTGTCCATGGTGGCACCACAAGTTTTGACACTTGTGTTTCGGGTGTATGTACGTATTCCTGTTTCCACCATTTGGTCATCTGCCATCGGACGAGTGGGTTCTTTTGAGTACACAGAGTGTATGTACTGTACACTAGGGGTAGTGACAACACTGTGAGGACCTGTAAATATAGTTGGTCCCAAGGCTGAATAACAACCTGGTCACTGGTGGGATACGATCTCAGCATTTGGCCTTTGCTTGCCTGGCGCTTTTGAC